GAAGAAGAAGAAGAAGAAGAAGAAGAAGAAGAAGAAGAAGAAGAAGAAGAAGAAGAAGAAGAAGAAGAAGAAGAAGAAGAAGAAGAAGAAAATATAGTTATTGGAGTAGGAGTGAGTAGGAGTGATGTAGTAGAACATTTTATCCACATCAATACCTCGTGGTCCATATTCCTTCAATTTCTTTCCCGCTATGAAGTCAGGAGTGAAGTGAATCTTTTCACCCTTTTCTCCACACTTTCCAACCTGCTCCGTATAGGGGTCATCATTACCTGCTTGATTAGGTTCAATCACCACATCAGCCTGAAATTTTAAAAAGGTTTTATCATCACAACATTTCAGCAAAGACAGTGGAGTATTTTCAAATAATTTCATTGGATTCAGAAGTATTTTGACTTAAAAATCCAAGTCACAGTAGAAAATTAACTTTGAAAAAAGAACTTGATATGCTCACATTTTTGTAGGTCTCGAGTTTTGGTTTGACATATTCAGGCTTTGTTTTCCAGTTTTCAGGAATCAAAATGAAAACACTTTTGAAGTAAAATCTTTTCTCTGTAGCTTCAAACAGGTATGGAGAGGCCTCAGTGACCATGTCCTAGGAAGAAAGAGAACACACCCAAAACAATTATGACCAAAAATAGATTGGGACACCAGTCACTTAAATCTACAATTGCACTTTGCCTTTGGAAAGACTAGATGGGAAGGGAAAATGTGGACATGGCTTTATTAGTAATAGCAGCTAAACTTTCTCAGCATTTACCACATAGTCTGTGATACATCATCGTGGTGAGCAATCCGGCTAGAGCAGATGCTAATCTTGGCTTAACCACCTGTTGGACATTTTCTAATCTGGACTCCTAACTATCCCATGGAAAATGTTTTAGTGACTACCTGATACGGTTAGAGCGAGGAACAAATGAAATCAGACATGAGAGGCATTAGGTATGGTGCTTTCTCAGCCCAAGTAAGTGCTTCCTAAATCTGACCTAGTAGTTCTGCTCTGTGTCTTCCCTTGGGAATCAACCAACATTTCAGTGAGAAACTGAGACATAGCAAACAGTAGTAGAGAGAAAGTCTGAGTGAGCATGACCTCAACCCTTGCCAAATCTCAGAATAATTTGGGGATTTGATACCAAATTAAACTACACTTAATATTGCATGCTGTGGTAGCTTTTATTTTTAATACACTACTAAGAAGTAGACATGGGGAGATGTCATCATATTTTTAAATTACACATAATTTTCTTCCGTTTTTTTTTTTTCAGTACTGGGGATTGAACTCAGGACCCTGCATTTGCCAGACAGATGCTTATTCTACCGAGCTATCTCCCAGGCCTATAACATAACTTTATTTCTCTAAAATGAAAGAGCCGCAATGTTAAATGCCTTTGCAGATTCTCTGAGGTGGGTTTTGACCAACCTTTTTTCTGACTCTTGCTATAGAGGCGGTTGGGGGAGGACTGGGTCTGCCAGGATTGACAGTGAGTGTGGACGGAGGAGGGGAAGGACCTCCAGCATTTCCGGGTGGCCAGAAGAGGAGTCAACAAGGAAGGTTCAGAAGAACCAGTCAGTGAACATGAAGGAAATAAAAATACGTGGGATGAAGACCAGGAACCTCCTCATAAGTAGAAATGGTTCTTTCTGCAAACTGCACTTTTCTAGTTTTGTTACTAGGCGAGGAATCTCTGCGCCCTTGAACTATTTGCTTTCCACCTAGAGATGTAAAAACAGGACAGGAGATTGGTGACTGTACCTACCATTTCTAGAGCAACATATATGTTGTATTATAGTTATTTTTAAAACTCTGAAATTATTTCAGACTAGCAGAAGTCCTGCAAAGTATTATTTCCTATTTAATTTTCATCCAGCTTCCCTTTACATGCATGCATTTCTATATTTTATCGTCACGATGCTCTAGTTTCTGCCATTCCCATTTTACAGATTATTCTTACGCTCTGTGCAATGCAGCCTCTGGATCTTCCACAGTCACATTCTAGGATGATCTCTCAAAAGGCTTTTTTTTCTGATTTCTAGCTGTTTGCAGTTGTGCAAGACCTCTAATCCCTCCCACTTAACAAGTGTCTGGGTGCCTCTGCCAGAACACACACATATGCTTGTCTTCCCTTCTCCTACACAAGAGGAGACAAGGTGAGGCACTTCCCCCCAGCAGCACCGAGAAGATCCCTGCTTCTGGGTTGAAAACAAAGCAGTTTCCTTCCCTGGAAGGCCAGGATTGTTCTTAAATCAGACCTTGCTCCTGTTTGGCATCACAGGGAAGGGTATTACAGTTACAAGAATAAAGAGAGAGCCTGGCATGTGCTTCTGGAGAAATCAGGCAAAGGAATCACCGTGTGTGCACATCACAATGCCTGCTGAACTATGATTCTGCACTAATGTAGAATGCAGTAATTTTCAGTCAAATAACCTACAGCCTGTTAGCGCAGGCATCCTTCTTTAAATGCCAACAGTGGAACAAGCTCCAAGTTGCATGCATTGTGCTCATGTCATCTCTCACAAGAACCCTAAGGGGTAAAGGATATTACTTCCATTTTACAGATGAAGAAATTGAGACTCAGGTAAAAATAACTTGCCTGTGTCATGTATCTAGAACAAGAGAATTTATGTTCTATCACAATATTGTGCTGTTTAAGGTCGTTACTATTGACCATTATCAAAGCATAAATATCACTTCAAGCTTACCTTTATTTGTTGAATGAGTGTTTCATCCTCTGGCACATTGGGGTCAATTGCAATGACAATACTTTCATAGCCATTGCTATTCAGCTGAATGAGAGACTTGCTCAGGGCTCCTTCTAGAAGGTAAAGGACCAAGAGGAAGACCGAACTCTTACACGATCTCATGACTGAGCATCCAACTTTGGACAATGGTGCCCTGGGAGAGGACTTTCTCTACCCCTATATATATGAAAATATGCACACGAATTTCCCAACTTATCAAGGGTGATTTATCACCAGACTTTAACCTCTTGACCTAAAGTGTTTCTTTATTGCATTTATCTTTGGTGTGAAAGCAGCTGTAGCTCAACATCAAGTTGTATACTTTTTAAGTGTTTCAGTATAGAAGAATGAACATTGGGTTTGCCTTCAGCTGTGCCAGATGCTTGCTGAGGGTGGGGAAGCCCACACCTGGTTCCCTGGAAATATGAGTACCTAATATATTGAAAGATCTATTTGCTTACAAATGTTTGTCCAGCCAGGGAAACTGACCCACCCGACGACACCACCAACCCTTGCTAACTCTGCCCAACAGAGGCCTGACTTTTGCACATTCCATACAATTATAACTATGATTGTCTTTATTTTTATCCTCATCAAGTTTGACATAACCCAGAAGCTCTTGGTATTCCTCAGAGGCAACCCACACACAGAAGAAGCATTTAGTAAGTAATATTGGTGGTATCTATCACTTCACATCAGAGAGAAGAGATCAAATTTGTATCTCACTTTGTAAAACAACCTCTTTCAAATTTCCTCATCAGTCCTCTTCTCGTCCTATTCCACATCTCCCAACAGTCAATAGAGTTTAAATTAATAACATTAACTCATTTTTATTAAATCAAGTGTCAGAACATGAATTATGAATTGTTAGCTATTATACAGATTCTTTTAAGTTTGCCAGACCTCAGATGAAAATCTACAGTGGTCCACCACTTTCCTGTACTAAAACTATTTGGAAATACTCCTCAAACACACTTAATTTAGTCTTCACATAGTGAGAAACATCTATTTCAACTTGTCTGTCCCTTTTCTTTGACATTCATAGCTCATAAAATTAAATTAATGTAATTTACTACCTACTATAATTAAAAAGGAAGCACTAAAGGAAGACAAAATGATGAAGTGGTTTTCTAGATGCTTTTTTTTAAAAGAAGAATACATTTATTATACACTCTGAATTTTAAAATTTAGATTCAAAAGTATCTAGATGCCTAATGATATGTGTCTTTGAGTTCCCTAGAAAACAAGCTTAAGTCAAACATGAGCTAATGGTTGATTTAAGAGTGAATTCCACAGTTAGAAAACAAAGAGAATGGAAAATGAGCAGGTGAGGGCTGGGAAGCAATGAAAGAAGTGGTAGTAAATTGGCCCCTGCCATTCAGTGGGGAGACCCCGCAGATCAGCCTTCAGTGGAACCTACCTTCCCTCAGGGTTTGTCTCCTAACGCTGAGAACAGAACCCTGTCTGGAGCTGTTCAGTGGAAGGAGGAAAGGGCAACTCTGGCTCCTTCCTATCTTGAATGGGTGCTAATTCTTCTAGACTTCCCTCCAGCAGTTTGATGGAAAGTGACTTCATGACCTGCCAGTGTGTGAAAAGTGATTCCAAAGGGCGACAGGTTGGCAGCAGGCAGCAGAAACATTGGCATTTTCAAGGAAAGGATAATGATGGAGGTGGTGAGGTTCTCATAGACAGAGGGACCCACCAGATCAGGGGATGTTTACTAAGGTGAGTCTAATAAGTTTATTAAAATGAATCACTGTTTAAATTGCTCAGATTCACTTTTATCATGTCCTGCCCCAGGATTATAGTGTAGGGTTTGCTTTTGTTTTTGGTGAGTGCAAGGTGTCTCACTTGTTCCCTTAGAGAAGTTAAAAGTCAAATCATTGATATAATCTCCTTGAAATTGGTGGCTAATCACGATTTCCTAAATTACGTAAGGCAGAGAGTTATTAAAATAAATTACAGAGCTTAGTGTAACAGCTAGTGCCAAGGCCATGATAGGTACTTATGATCCCCTTCCTCTGTCACCCCTTTCCCTCTCCCAGCTAGCATTTTGGCTGATCTGTTGTTTGCTCCCCAAGTGGGCCTCAAGTTGACCACCCTCAATACTCTGTCACCTAGCAAGTCAGCACAGCTTTTGAGAAACTCCTTGGGAGAGAATTGTGAAAAAATGAAGGCAAGAGTGAAAATGCAAAAAGCTGAGTCAGGCGGAGCCCTCTTTATACCCATGGAAGGTTGCTGGCAGGTGAAATCCATCTGTCTAACAACTTGTTCGCCTAGCTCACCTCGGGCACCCTGTGTTCTTGGGGCTGGAACAACATGTTTACCGAGATTGCCTTGGGCATCCAATGTTCTCAGGGCCAGCCTTGCTTTACCTGACATGTGTGGTTGATCTTTAGCTTCAGCCACTCCCCATAATCACCCTGCCCTGCCTTCAGTGGAAATCCTAACAAGTTGCTTTTACCAGTAACCCTGATGCTTCCCGTTAGTAATTTATTCTCCACTGACACCTCAGTACTCCATGGTTATAAATCTCAATTTGTTCATATTAGGGTAGTAGTTAAATTCAATCACTCTTCCCAACCACATGACCCAATGGCAGGGGTCCCTGTATCTATCACCATGGCCCCTTCTTACCATTTTAACTAATGCTTGGATACCTTACAAACTTTTTCTTTTTTCTTCTTCTTTTTGTATTTTTAAAGAATACAAAATAGTGATAGAAAGAAGAAAACAGCATTAGAAGTGATATAAGACCTCACTAATCAAAGTAAGAAGAGTTCAACAATGGTTGCTGTATTACATGTTGCTATCTTCAAATTAGTTGTTGACATTACCAGATATAAACATGTAAGATTTGTTTAAATAAAAAACAAAACAAAACAAAAATAACAAAGGAGTTACAAGAAATTCAAAAGTGGAAAAAAAAATCAGAAAAAAGCATTAACTGTTCCTTTCAAAAGACCAGCAGAAATTGACAATGCAATTATCTAAACTATTCTACTATATACCTAAATATATTTTTCCCTTCTTTCTTTTTTTTCCATAATTTTATTGATAAGCAAATAGCAATGAGACAGTTCCAAATCAAATCAGTAGGACAGTTTCAACAATTAACACATTGCATACATTCCTCCCAGTGGTTAATTGCTGTACAAGATGTAGACATGACATCCTATTTATAGACACCATTAGAACAAATCCCTCTATTCATTAAGAGAATGCAACTATATATCCATCCTAACCACTTTGAATACAGATACAAAATGGACATCCATCTGCATACCCTTCTTTTGTTAAGTTCTGTTATTTGAATATTATAGGTGTGTTAACTCAGCAAAATAATCTAAAAGAGTTCAGTAGTCCATAATAGTATTGGGTCTTCTGCTTCATTGGCAATGTCAGAAATTGTTGACCTGAGTCCCCTACAGCTCAACATAACAGCATGGCTTTACTTCTTATATTTTGTTTTTATACTTTTCTGCTGGATGGTTAAGACCAAGGTAAAGAAGGACCTATGCAACAAGAGCTGTAGCTTTTTGGTCTGAGAAGGTCAGTGAAATCCCCCAGGATTTATCCTGAGATCCTGTACCTCAGATTGTTTGTCAGTGTCAGCCATGTGGATGAGTCATGGTCATCGCTTGGCCAATGTGGTCTCTGTGAAAGCCTGAAAGAATGTTTTCTCTCCATGTGACTCTCCTTAGGCACACTCTACATCATCGATCACTTTCCTCTTTGGCCCCATAATCTCCTTGATCAGAAAATTTGGGACACTGCCAGGTTACATGATGTTACAGTATAAGTTCTCATATGTCCTGAGTCTTAATTGACCATGGAAGACTAGGTCCAAAATGTTGGCTTTCCTTATAGCCCTCCTTTTCATCTAATTTTGGTCTGCAAACCCTTCTTTCGTTTGTCCTTTTCTTCATTCCAGTTTTTCCTTTCCATTGCACAATTTCTTTTCCTTTCGCAGTAAAACTAGCTTGTTAGGATTACCACTGAAGGCAGGGCAGGGTGATTATGGGGAGTGGCTGAAGCTGAAGATCAGTCACATATGCCAGGTAGAGCACGGCCAGCCCAGTACCTGTTGTATCTTTGACATTTTCATTACTTTCAGGTTCTCACACTAGTGATATAATATGACCGTGCACATGTGGATCTGAATTATTTCACTTAATAATATGGTTTCTTGCTGCACTCATTTATCTACAAAAACCTAAAATTTATCTTTTTTAAAAAATAGCTGAATCAAGATGGCTAAGGCAATGGTCCTAAAAATTTCCATCAGGTTTTTGAAAACAGCAATTAATGGTAGAAATCTCACCCTGACTAACTATATTCTGTTATCTGTGAACTAAGCAACTACATTGTGGACAGCAATATGTAATATTAAAAGCATGCCTAAGATACCTGTCATTTTGGTCCTCTAAATGCGTACTGCTTCTAATGTCATGTCAATTATTGCTATACTCTCTTTAAAGTAAATGTTTGTAAAAAAAAAAGGGGGGGTAATAAAAGTAAATGAGAGACAAAAAAACCAAAGTGTCATAGGATTGTCCCGCTACGATGTTGTATATGGTTTTATTTCTAAATTTCTGTGTAAAAAATGTGTAATTGTTTTTTTCACATTCTATAGGGATTTCAACCTTAGAATATCCATGGTTATTGGAAAATAGCAGTTCCATTTTATGTCTAAGGCATTTGATATTCAGACAGATAGTGATATTAAGCTTAACTGCCTCTGTTACAGGGTAATACTATAATTAAGCTTCTCTTCTGGATGTTTAACAACTAAAGTTTGCAGACCAAAAATTAGAAAAGTAGAGGGGCAACAAGGATAGCCAATATTTTGGCCCTACCCCTTAAGGTCTCAGGACATAAGAGAACCTGCGTTGTGACATCTTGTAACTCAGTGGTGACCTAAATTTTCTGATCAAAGAGATTATGGGGCCACAGAGGAAAGTGATCAATGATGTATAGTGTGTTTAAGGAGAGTCACCTAGAGAGAAAAGAAATTCTCTCAGGCTTTCACAGAGAGTAAATTGGTGAAGCAATAGCCATGACTCATCCAGATGGCTGACACTGACAAAAGATCTACAACATGCTATACGTGGTTTCAGGGTAAATCCTGAGGAGATTTGACTGACTTTGTTAAATAGC